TGTCACATGCTATTCAGTCAAGGAGCCAATGGCAAGAACATTTTTGTCTAGTTGCTCACCTGGCACTGAACTTTATCTTACAAAGCCCAATAATTAATGAAATTGGGACTGGCACAAGAACTGAGGAGCAGTGGGGTGGGTGAACAGAAGAGTAAGCACACACACACATACATGAATATAACAATGAGTAAATGAGCACCCATGGGGGAAGGATCATTTGAGTATCACACCAATGGTGCAGGGACATTGGGTAACTGCTTGGAAAGCCATAAAGTTATATCTCTGCTTCATATCATACAACAAAATAAAATTCTCATATATATTAAAGAGTTAAATATAAATCAACAAAAATTGGAAAACAACATCCAACAATAGAGAATTGTTTAAATTGTGGTATACTGTAGACAATTATCTAATCATTAAAATCATGTTTTAGAAGAATATTTAATGCTCAGGATATATTATTAGGTAAAATAGTAGGCTACAAAAAAATTATATAGCTTAAGATCACAATTTTGTACACTACTTCCCCATAATGTATATGGGAGTATACACACATACACATATATTTGGAGTGTTTGTGAGTTCCCATGTGTAGTGTATACTCATACTCACATGTACATGTATCATGAAAAAAGTCTGGAATGAAACATCAAAATGCTAATAGTGACTATCTGAGGTATTAGGGTAATTTTACCTTACACATATTTATTGCTTTGTTTTTTCCAAATGGTCTACAACAAAGATTATTTTTATAATAACAATGCTATCTGTAATTTAATGATTTTTAAATAATTTCCTTGGTAAAAGAAAGCAAAAACAAGTTTGGGGAGCTGTACTGCATGAAGCTGGGAGTCTAGTTGACTAGGAAGTCCCACTTTTTCCTAATACTCCACCACAAAATGGCCAAATAGGAATTTACAAACTCTTCTGGGTCCTGCTACTGTGTGTAGCCTGTACATCCCTGGAGAAGACCCTTGGTGGCCTAGCTTTGGAAAACTGCTCCTGTGGTCCTCGTGATAGTGCAGGAGTGGCCTGGGTGATCTTACCTCCGTTTCCAGGAGGAAAAATAACGTTAATGGCTAATGTTTTCTCAATTAAAATTCTTCTCCTATAAACTTTCTTATACTTTTGATGCCTGCAGTTACGCAGATATGTTAGAATCTTGTACGAGATTCTCTCACATTTAGTGCTGATATATTTTTCGTTTTAATTATATATATATACACACACACATATATATAT